TTTGTGAGCATTCATTAATGAAGGTAATACAGACACAATCATGCACTGTGAATTTGTCTCACTCCTCCACAATAATGAAGTGACACTTGAGAGAGAGAGAGGTAAGTTCTGCACACAAACATTCATGGTGTACATTAACACTAATAAAAAGTGGTTTTAAGTTATTAAAAGGAATCAGATGCATAAAAACTTTTTAGCTGACAAATTACAGAATTTCTCATATATAAAACAATACTAAACAGTTTTTGTATTTTTTTTTTGTATGCTTAAAAAGCATTACTGATTTATCACAACAAAACTCTGTTGTGAATTATTCACGTATCTTCAATTACACTTTGTCCTTTACCTCTAGATCCATGTAAGTCATAAGTCCAATATACTGTGTATGATTCACTGACACTCATTGAAATCACTAACTCATGAGTGAGTTTGACTGTTCTTTGGATATCTTTTGACTGATTTGTTAAAAACAAGCAGTTCATAATAGTTTTTTTTTGCGAATCGCAAATGGCTCGCACTGTGTTCGTTGTTCTACGCTGCGAGTGCATAACAGATAATGAGATAAAAACGCATACGGACGCACTCAAACCTCTCCTGATTTCAAATTTTTGTCATACATTGTTATTTTTGTTGCATATTTTAGTCGCTGTCTGGAGCCCTGCTGTGGTCTTTGTGATGTACAGAAATACGAAGGCATCTGTGGGCCGATTAGCCTGGTGTGTCCTCCTCAGAGTTTTTCTCAAGAGATCCTCTGTGTTCTAAAAACACACAGATGTTGCTGAGCTAATGAGGGAGAGAAAGCAAGAGTGAATAATTATTCATAATACATAAATGTTGGGAACTGAGGGAAGCTTATAAAGCAACAAAAACAAGCAAATCAACCAATATTTAAAAATATTCATCACATTAATTAGACCGGAAACCAGATGCTTTATACAGCCATTATTTTCTTCTTTTTTTGGCACACAGAGTATAACAACTTTAGAACTAGAGTAAAACACACCTGTCAGGTCACATCCTCAGTGGAAGAGCCATGCAATCAACAATTTTACCATGCAGTGATAAATGTAAATTTCTCTTGGAAAACTTTATTTCTGGCTGTCAGATGCACACACTTCTAAACACACACACACACACACACACACACACACAAAACTAAAAACAGCAACAATGTACACTCGTCTCTCTAGACCCAGATCTCCACAGAGGGGGAGCAGTGAGTTATGGATCAACCTCACTGTGACAATATAAGCTGTTTTATGACACCAACAAAAGGAAGGATAGAATCTGATGCACTGTATGAGTCATAAACCTGATATAGTGACACACATAGAAACAGAAACACACACACATGCACGCTGTCACTGGAGAGCAACCCCTCAGGCACAGGTCATAAATCAACACACACACATCCACATCCTGCTGTTTCCTTAATTACTGCCTCTATTAACTGTTGTAATTAATCTATCCTTATTTCACTCACACACAACAACTGCAACCTGCTCACCTCTGTAGATGGACAGTAACATCTACTCATTTACTAAGCTCAAGTCATTGTATACAAATGGGCTTTGAATAAAAGCAGTGCCTCTATGCACAGTTCAAAGAGTTTATATGTGTGTGTATGTTAGTGAGGTTTATCAGCTCCAAGTGTTTAAAAATGTCTCTATAGAAATTTGTTGGAATAAAGTGATATGTGAAAGACGGATGTTCATTCCACAGATAGAGTGAAAGACAATAGACATGTAGATAAGACAAAGTCAGGATCTTCTGTTGAGAGTTCAGAAGATGTGTCTGGAAGATATTTCTGAGAAGTAATTGGATTCAATTCAATTCAATTCAATTCAAGTTTATTTGTATAGTGCTTTTCACGATACAAATCGTTGCAAAGCAACTTTACAGCAAATTAAGTTTCTACAATATTTAGCGGTAGCTTATCAGTGGTGACTGTCAGTTAATGTACATATGGCAGAAATTCAGCATAGCGTTAGTTCAGGCAGGCCACGTCAGTCAAGCTCGCATCAGCCGACAGTCAGCTGTTCCTGAAGTGTACCAATCCAGTCTTGACACCTATCACAAGCGGTCTATTTAAATTCCCATTCTTCAGCGTCTCTTCCATCGCATCACTGCTTGCAATTAACTCCCTCCTCCAACCCCAACTCCACCTAACTGAACCTGTAATTCGATTTGACTTTTGTTTCTTCCTTACAGTCACTTCATTGGAAGCATTCTCTATCACATATTGTTTACAACTCATGTAATTGTGAATTGTAATTATGTATGCATATAATGGTTCTGTTCTGTACCCCGGGGGGGTTTGTCTTGCTGCTCTTCCCGCTCTGTCCAAGCATGGCTGCATGGACAGGCGTGTGGAGTGTTGCCCAGAACATAACCATACCGCCAACACTAACTGTATGCAATATAATTGTAATAAATATACTTGACGAAAGTGGTCCTGATTGAAGTGGCATCCATAATTGTAATTGCGATTAGAAATTCGATTAATAGTGCAGCCCTAGTGTCAGTGTTGCAGAGTTCATCAGTTATGAAACAAACTCAATGCAACTAAAGCTTTATTTAGCTCTTCCTGTCCGATAGTTGTAAAGTTCTGCAGTTTATATTTTGGTGGCATTAAGAGGCATGGTTTTGAGAATGCTTTTATACAGCAGTTGACATTAAGTAACTTACATTTTAGATGCAATATTGCCACTTAATTTTTAGATCTGTCAACGAAAATAGTTCCAAATTAACCACAGCAGAACCATTGCAGCAGCAAATAATAACACACAGTGTAGTTTCATTCCTATTTTTGAACGAATAAGCTTATAGGCTGCATCCAAAGTCTCATATCTCCCTACTGTATACTTGGAGAAAAACAGTATGTGAAAAGAGTAGTATTTCCGGATTCACAGTATTCATAAAAGAGTAGACAAAAAGCACCTGGGTGACCTACTCATTCCTGTGAGATTCTGATCTCAGTATGCATCCAATGGACACTTTACTATCCCATCAGGCCACAGGAGTGGATTTGTGAATGACAGTGAAATGACGCAACTGATGCTGGCAGGTCACATGACAAATCTAGCATGTCTGGAACACTTTCATGCATAGAATGCACTTCTTTAACAGTCACAAAGTAATTTCTTATTCAAAAGAAGTATCAACTCAGGTTGCATCCATAAAGACAACCTGGTCCTTTCTTGAATAAATCAGTGGTTCTGAATGAGTCAGTTGAACAAATTATTCACTGACTCACTACTAAAAAGACAATCACTTACTGCCACCTACTGGCATAACTATATAAACCTGTACATACCTGTGTATTTGTATGCATTATTCTAATAGAAATTTATATCATACTAAATAAAACTGTTCTACTGTATGAAGAAAAAGAACAGATAAATGTTACAACTCTATACCTGTTAATGGTCTCCTACTGACTGTCTTCATGGCCTCTTAGAACATCCCGCAGGCTGGAATTTATTAGTGGCAGTCGGTGGTCCATGCTCTCACACCCTTTTAGCACTGACCAGTGAGCTCCTTCTCACCTCTGATTTGCCCCGAAGAACTGACAAGCCATTTTTCTTCTGCAAACCCAAATGAAATACTGCAAACACAACAGCAAAGCAGAACTGATTATGAAACCAAGAGTTTACCTAAACTTAATGACTAATAAAATAAACAGTCTGTTTTTACTGAAAGGATGTCTTTTTTCTCACAGAAGCTGACATGTACATATATTTTCTACGGCAAGCCCTGAAGGGATTGTTTAATTTGTCACCCTTCTTCTATGCTTAAATGGAGAGTGTGACAGATCCACAGACAGAGGAGGGCAAGATTTCAGCTGGTTTGACATTCCCTACCGTTATCGAGTCAGTTAGTGTGAATATGTTACAATATAATCTTAGTCACATTCCTGAAATGAACAGAGAATCTATAAAATGCATGCATATAACACGCCCACATACAGTATCTAAATGATTTAAAATAGATCTAATCCAAACACATGATGATTATAATTCTCTTACATTATCTTGTTATGTACACAACATAACTCATATGCAATAAATAAATAAATAAATAAATACAAATTGTCCAAAACTCTTTCTGCAAGTTAAGGAGCTGCTTTCATCAAGGCTATTTATCCAGAGCAAACTGATCAATAAGAGACACAGAGCTAAAACAGCTGTTTGCTTGTGAACGGGGACGAAAGCAAACACACATCAGCTGGTTAAGCTCAGCACTGGACAAATTGGATCATGACCACAACCGTTTCTGGTGAGGAAGGGTAATATTGATTTTCTCTTCCCCATTTTCTGCTTCTTTATTTTTGGATTAATTTGTTTTAGTGCCGTTTGTTTCCTTCTCTACATAGCATAAATTTTCTTTTAGCTGCTGGCATGGATTTTATACCTTTATTTGCATTCCTGAATCTTTATTTCAGCAGTGTTGTGAAACGCTGCTTTTAAACTCAATGTGCTACATATGTGTTAATATCAATAAGTTGCATTAGAATAGTTACGGAAAGAAATGCATTAAATAATTATGCATTCATTTTAGTTTTATTTATTAATTTTAGTGGCCTACAAACAATGTAGAATCTTATGTTACATTTTCTCTATGACTACAATTTAAATCAATTTTAAATAAACAAATAATACCCTTTTGATCCACTAGGATCATGATCCCGTATTCCTTACCAGTAACCATAGCGACAGTGACCAAAGTAAAATCAAAGATGGCGACGTCCATAAAACTGAAAGTCTTATCACTTTCTGACATGACAAGAGTCCAATCGAGCACCGAGTTCATTCGTCAAATCTTCATTAACCGACGGCAGCTTTTAAATTTGGGTGGAGAGCGGAGCATTTGAATCACGAGCAGAACACAAAACTGACGGGAGCAGCTCCGGTGGAAAACTGACGGGATCTAAAACTTTCAGACGCAGCTCATTTCTCCGTCACTGTAAGATACCGAAAACACACATGAAAACATGTAACACACGGTAGACGCACGTTTGTGCGGCAGAGCGGCTCCCTTTCGCACTGTATGACGTGACAGACAACTAGTTGTCCAGTCCTGTTCCGTTCACACAGCGCGTGTGTTCCGAGAATGCGGTTGTGAGTCCTGAAAATTTACGGGTGTGAGTTCGGTTACAGAATGCTGTTGTCACACCCGTAAATAACCGAACTGTGTGCGAACGTAACCGTATTAAGGACTCAAATACAGGACTGACAACCGTATTCTGCTGCTGTGTGAACGTGGCCCTAGAATTGAATACATTTATTTAAAATATATTTTAGTATATTTATTTTTCAATATACTGGGGTCATCAGTGTGGTCTTAGACATTACTATACTATGTATTAACACTGGAATCTAATTTTTGTAATTAAAGAAATAGTTCACCCCAAAATTAAAATTTGCTAAAAATTTACTCACCCTCATGCTACAAGATGTAGATGAGTTGTTTCTTCATCAGAACAGATTCGGAGAACCAATGGATCCTTCTGGTGAGCTTTGTCAGTGGGGAAAGCGTTATTATGGATTATGGAATATTTTGGCTAGAAGCAATGGTTAAAGTTAAGTTAAAACTTAACTTAATGATGGATTCATTTATATCTCGGATGCCCTGATGGTAAGTAACTTTTCTTTTTTGGGTGAACTATTCCTTTAAAATACCAAATTTGTAGATCACTATCCCCAAACTGAAGGCATGTGTGCCTGTTTAGAATAGTGTAAAGCAACATGAAAGATGAAGAAGAATAGGATCAAGACTTGACGTAGGTCAGACTGAAACAAAATCTGAGCACATGCTTCACCCAATCTTGTTCCTGCCCATCTCTGTCCACTGTCTCAGTAAGTGTCCTCACTTCTCCTCTCCCTCTGAACACTACAGTCCAGTTCCAGTGGAAGTTCAGTCTCCTTGCATAATTGCATGATTAGATCAATTACCTGTGTCTCCATACATCTCAGCTGCTCCTACACGAATACAGTTCTGAAGCTGAAAAGTAATTATGAGATGTGGGACTCAATCAAATCTCCGACTGGTATATTTAATTACTGTGGTAATGATTGTTAATGACTTTGCTGATGGATTCATTGAGAGTCGTGGGAGGTTTAAAGCACAGTGTACAGGCACACCAAACACACACTTTTGTCCTCTTATAGCCCTCCTTTTTTATTTTTGCATATTTCTTTCTCTTTTGACGGATGTTGTTTTTCTTTCTCCATACAGCTCAGTGCAGTATTTCATTTCCTAAGTCTCCTTGCGTGTAAATAAAAATGTACGTCTCTGCGAGAACATGTATATCTGTGTTTACATAATCTCACTGGATGCCAGTTTTATCCTCCAAAATGCTGCTTGGGGACTACAAACAACAGAAATGGCAAATGCTTCCCACTCTTAGTGAAGAGAAGTGTGCGTGCGAGGGTTCGTCAAGCGGCTGAAAACCCCAAATCCCATTTTCTTAATTCCGGTGGCGTATTGCTGGCTGACAAGCTTTATTAAAAACCCTCAGCTAAGTCACACAATTGCCACACATTCTCCTCTCGAACTAAAGTAAACCTTCTGTTATATACACTGTGTGCGTGTGTTTGCATGTGAAAAAGGAGTAATGTTTTAATTTCTTAGCGGCGTGGGGTGTGTTTGCTATGTCTTGTTGGTCACTGCAGGGGTCAAATGAAGAAAAAAGGTAGATGATGCTAATGATGATAAGGATAAACAACATGTACGTGTGTGTGAATGTGTTTGCGTGAGCTGCATTTTTAACTAGAGCACAAACGTTGTGGGGAGAATCAATTAGCAACCAGTGCAGCATTAAAATGAAGGAAAGGGCTGGTGTGTCCTCTTATCTCCACTCACACGGCCAGACAGATGCAGGACTTCACTGAACAATGCACTACATGTGCCTAACCGTGGCCTTTGTGTTCAGAGAAATTATTCAAAAATGTTTGGGCAGTTTCATCTCCGCCACACTTTGATGCATGGCTGAAGGGCAAGTCCTTGAATTGGTAGGCCTATTGCTTTTGTAGTCAACCGTGTGTGTGTACCCTATTGAGAGCCTTAGGGATCCTATTGGACACAATATATTCAAATCTAATTAGGATCACACTTTTATGACCAGAAATCCTCCCAGTTTTATGCCTTTCAATTAATTTGAATTTGCTTGAGAAGTGGAAAATCTGGAGTAGAGTTTCATATTTATAGAATAAATATATTTGAAAATGCTTGATCAAAACCATACATTTCTTAAAAGTAGTGGAAACCTGGAATATGAATGTTAGCCTATAGGAAACAGCAGCAAGTTGGGCAAGCTATCATTTATGTTTTTACTTTGTATTTATTTATTCATATGAGTTGTAAATCAATGTCTAGCTGATCTGCTTTATTATTAGTGTAATGCTGTTCATTTTTAATTAAGTTCTTATGGATGTATTTATCATATAAAGAATATACAGTATGACTTTTGCACTTTTGATATTCTTAAGGAGGTTGGATTAATGACTAATTTTTGACACATGTAATTGCGTTCATTGTTATTAATGGTTCTCTGTAATGAAAAGGCAAATAAAGATTTAAACAAATAAATAAAAAATAGCAGTGAACTGTCAGAGCCATAGTCTTGTGGGCAGAGCTCTGACATATGGTGTGGCAGTGCCTCAGATATCCTGCGTCCAAGTCCCGGCTCGAGATCCTTTCATTATCCAGTTCCCCTCTTTCCTTTTGCATTGCTTCCTGTCCTGTCCGTCTCAAACTGTTCTGCCAAAATAAAAGTATAAAAGCCCCAAAATATACCTTAATAATTCCTGGAAATCAGAACTCCTTCCAAAATATTGCAGGAAAATAAATCAGTTTGTGCTGCATTTGGACTACAGTTGAGCCAAAAATAAACAGCCTGGAAGTCTCCAGCAACTCTCTCAAATCACAGGCTGATTTGTCCAGTAACAATGTCCAACAATAGACATACACGCATCACATGAATGTGTCTGCCATGTTTCCATAAGTTATTTCCACCACATTGCCATGCCCATCATAATTTTAAACTTGCAATAATGCATATCTTTATAATAGATTTTCATAGTTTAAGGCTGAAAGTCTAGGTCTGGGATAAGGCTAAAATAATACATTCTACATGTAATGAAAAGTAGCAAAAAATAAATAAATAAATAAATGACATGACCTTCATATAACAAAAAAAAAGAGAACTTTTGAAATATGTTTTAATAAAATTCAACCCCTGGGACATAAAATCGCATGAAGTTGAAGAAATAGTTTGATTCTACTGAAAATGTTCCATGATGTTTGTCATGCTTTTCTATCCGGTGACATTGAGAACAGTCTATTTGGGGAATACAGTGTGTGTGCTGTGACTTGACTATCAATTGTGAAAATAGCCTGACTTCACAGACCACTGGACACCCTCTAAAAAGTTGTGCACAACTCAATGATAGTGCTCACAAACATACACTTCAAAACACATTTCACTTGCCATTGCTTCCAATATCATAATAATTGGTATTAGTACAATATCAAGTCTATCTATAAAGCCTTTTTGTCACACTTTTATGTAGCCTGATTCAGTTTAGGACAGGCTCGCTGTTAACATGATTAGCAGTGCTATAAAAAATCTGTATATGGCAGCATTAAATCCAATCTCAGATGTTGTCCTCCAGCTTTCCGTTTGATTATAATAGTCATATTTGGTCACAATATTATTGAAGGTGCAGAATAACCACATTAACTCAGTATTTAAAACATCAAGAAGAAGGATTTTCTGGTCATACTGTAGTAAAAGCATTTCTGCTAGCCTAATGTCATGCTATTTCCAAGGATACACATTTAATAAATAATACACTATCTTACACACACAAAGGTAATTAGCGAAGAACATCCATCTAGACTAGGACAGAAAATTGATTGACATAAAAAAAGGAGTGTTAATTTACTCTGATTAATGGAGACAAATGACTTACTAATACAATAACAAATGCTTTCATGGGGCTCAATGAATTTGATTACGGAACTGAATTAATGAAATTAATGAAACTTTAGCAAAAATAGCGTACGAATAGAGCAGATGATCACACACATACACAAATGCACCTGTGCACAATCACTTTGAAATTGAAGAACAAAATGAGTTTCAAAGCTTCTGTGCTTCTGAATTGAGGCTGAGATGTTTTGGCTGAAATTCATTCATACTCGGCTCCAGTTTATTAACCCCCCTGCAACCCCCCTCTTTTCTCTCTTTTTTCCTTCTTTTTTTTTCCAGCCTAACCCTGTTTGTCGTGCCTGCTTATTTCAAACCCAATCAGTTTGTATACACTTTATCCATAACTCTATTTAACCTTCTGCAAAGGTGACACTGCAAAAAGAGTAATGCAGAAAGAAAAAAAGTGTGTGTACAAGGGACATTTATGAAGGAGACGTGCAGGCAGGTGCGCTCACTTGTGTATTTTTGTCACATATTCGCTACAAGAGAATTGGGTGAGGGTTAGGCTCTTGAAGGAAGAATCACGTGTTCATTAAATGCTTTTTGTGATGCTTTTGTGTGTGAAGAGCAGCACATAAATTTCCCATCATTCGCTCTGTCTATTGGCAGTATTTTTTCTGTCAGCTCTGCAGAACCACTTGGGGGGGAAAAAATACCAATCGCCTTTCATTCATCAGCAACACTTTCACTGTGATCGCCAGAAGCCTCCCAATAGTGTGTACTTTCAATTTATTCTTTCTGCCTAAAACATCAAAACAAACAACAACTGCAAAATTTTTGCCATGGTTCCTCAACACACAGGTTCCAAAAAATATTCACTATAATCTCTGATCTTTTCTTTCAGCCTATCAGGATTTAGTTTATGTATTGTATTTATATAGTCTATGGACTGTAAATATTTAGTGCATGTGTTTATTGTGTCTTATAAGCATTACTCACTCTAGAGCTCAGGCTGCCTGTGGTTATGGGGATGTATATTACAGACTGATGTGAAGGAGGAGGCACTCAGTCATTTGTTATTAACATGAATCAGGGAGGAAGTGGCATGGAACAGTCCACTCAGTTTGTTCAGGTGGCGTACCTCTCAATCCCCTTTGCAAAAAAAAAAACAATATGGCTTCATGCATTAATTTCTCCACACCATCCAATGCCACTCTAATGAAAGCCAAAACTAAATCTAAAACTGTTCACCACATTTGCATAGGAAGCATTAAATCTATCAAAAAAATACATACATACATACACCCTGCTAAAAAAACATTCATCAATTTAAATATATTAAGTATAGTTCAAACCTATTAACATACTTACTGACATATCGCTTGAGACCAGGGGTGTGAAGTAACGAATTACAAATACTCACGTTACAGTAATTAAGTAGTTTTTATCAGTAATTGTACTTTTTTGAGTAGTTTAAAAATTGTGTACTTTTACTTTTACTTGAGTACATTTTAAGTGATGTATCTGTTCTTTTACTCCACTATTTTCCTCCGTTTGTGGTCGTTACATGCTTATTTTAATTTAA